TGTCATTTTAAAATGTGAAAAGTTTTTTTTTTTTCAATTTTTCACACATATATATAGTTACATGGACATTAGTGAATTTCAACCATATCACTGTAGAACATTAGGGAGTTTCAACCATATGTATATCATCATTGCATAAATATAAGCGAGTTTCAATCATATATCATCATCACATGGACCCATATAGGCAATTGTTGCTTATGTTGTTTATTTCACACCTCAACCTCATCTTCTTGACTTTACCTTTTACTCACAATCCTCTGCCTGTGATAGTCAAAAGCTTGACTGCTGGGGCTCTTTTGAACAAGCACGTTAATTCAACAACCCCCAAAAGTTACAACTTTTTACCTTCCACGCTTTGACTTACATTTATTTTGTTCTCATATTACCCCAACCTCATCTTCTTGACTTTACCTTTTACTCACAATCCTCTGCCTGTGATAGTCAACAGGTTAAGTGTTGGGGCTCCTTTGAACAAGCACGTTGATTCAACAACCCCCAAAAGTTGCAACTTTTTACCTTCCACAAGTTTGACTTACATTTATTTTGTTCTCATATTAATATATGTTCCCTTCAATTTCTAATCATAGCATAATTGTCTTACACTTCTATTTAGTCCTAAATATAAATCTAAGATATAGCAATTAATTTTTTTTTTCAATCTTACCCTTCCCTTGGCGTGCTCTTTAATTAATTCCTCAGCAACATATACTTTATTGTGGTCATATTTTAGTTAGGGGGAAAATTCAAAATTCACAGTCCTTTTTTTATTTTTTTATTTTTACAAATTTAAGAATTTTAAGAAGATGCAATATTCATAGATTGCCAATAATATGGCTTATTTTAGACTCTCTAGCATATGCGGTTCATTATTTAGCTTGATATACATTTCTTTAATCTAAACTTCTTTATAATAAACTGTATTATTTAAGGTACTCACAAATTGCTCATTAGCAAGATTCTTACATCAAGAGCAAGATTTAAACTCATGACTTTATAGGTTATAAGCTAACTTCTTATTAATTGGACTAATTCTTGTTGGTTTATCTTCTTGAATTTAGAATCTCCTATACTATGTTTATCAGGGTTCGAATTCTCTCAGCAGCCGCCTCCCTCAGCGTCTCTCAACGTCCCAATATCTACCATCAGATAAATCTAAGAGCTCTCAATGTGCCACATCATCGAGCTATTAAAAATTAAAAATAAATCTAATTAATGCTAAAATTGCTTTTTTTTAAATGAACTATTTTTTGATAAAAAAATTGAGTGCATCACCTAATTTCTTGGATCTATTTGTTTTAACTGTGGAGTTTATTAAGAGTCTAAGGGGTGTTTGGCAACCCTCAAAAGTGCAGAAGCACTTTTATGCAAAACGAGACAAACTTCTCTACATATTTACTTCGTAAACCGTAAAAACACTTATAAAACCATGGTTTGGTTTCCATCTAAATACCTCCTAAATTAATATAAACTAAGTTAGGTAGGACCACAAAGAGAGGTAGAGTTCTACCATCAAGTAGTTTAATTAAAAATTTTAAAAAATAAAATACTTGATATAGTTTTGCCACTCTTTATAGTTATGATTGACTCGATCCACATCAGATTGAATTTAAATTAATCTTTCAGTTTAAGATGGATAAATCTAAAAAATTATATATAAATATTTCATGGTCAAGCTTTTTTATTCTTTATGATTATCTGGATAAGTCTATTAGTCTAGAGTCTGAACATCTCATAAATTCTTTAACTAAAATGAGCCAGGTGAAAAAAATTGGATATTCCATGCTAAAGATATCCTAGTTGAAAATTTTACACTATAATTGAGATTTATTTCTAATTTTTAATTTTTAATAGCGTCATGACGTGGCACAATATGATCTGTGTTAGATTTATTTTAACGGCTGCGATTTAGATGCTGAGGGGTGCTGAGGAAAGAGGACGCTGACGGTATCCTCTTCCGTGTTCATCAGCTTACGCGGTCTTTCTTTCTTGGTAGGCCGGAGACTGGGAGGCGGGCTGGACTGACAGTAGGGTAGGCGAGTATGTTGTTTTATGTTTTCTTTGGGCCTTTGGCCTATTTTATCTGAAACTTAAGGTCCAAAACTAAGGTGTTGGGCCTCTTCTGAGGAACAGGCATTTAAAGTGCCCAAAAAGAACTCACCCAAAAAGGTGCCCAGAAACGCGCGCGCATGTTGTGTGCCATGTTATCAATTTATCATACGGGCACTGCTCACAACTAATGAGTTGATGCTAACAAAACGAACTAAAAAGTATTTAGATAGAAATAAAATCATAGTTTTAAAAGTAATTTTACGGTATATAAAGTAAATAGGAAAAATTATACTCAGGTCCCATAGAGCACAATTAATATAAAAAAGGTCCCTCAAAATCGCGAAATGATTCTGAAGTCCCTAAAGACCTGTGTGTAATTAATTCTAATTGTGAAATTACGTAGTTACCCTTGTTAATTTGAACCTATTTACAACCTCAACAGTGGCTGTTAACAACCCGAGAAGAGGTGGTTAACAACTTCAACAACGCCCCTGGCATTCCACAGAGTGAGTTGTCATGAGCACTGCCGAGGTTGTCAATCACGTCTTCTCGGGTTGTTAACAGCCACTGTTGAGATTGTAAACGAATTGCTGCAATAAAATTAGAACCTATTTACAACCTCAACAGTGGCTGTTAACAACCCGAGAAGAGGTGGTTAACAACCTCAACAACGCCCCTGGCATTTCACAGAGTGAGTTGTCATGAGCACTGTCGAGATTGTCAATCACGTCTTCTCGGGTTGTTAACAGCCACTGTTGAGATTGTAAACGAATTGCTGCAATAAAATTAACAGGGATAAGTAGGTAATTTCACAATTAGAATTAATTACACACAGGTCTCTGGGGACTTCAGAATCATTTTGCGATTTCGAGGGACCTTTTCGATATTAATTGTGTTCTGTGGGACTTGAGTGTAATTTTTCCAAGTAAATATGTAGAGGAATTAGTCTCGATTTACGAAAAAATACTTTTAAGAAACACTTTTACAGCTTTCCAAACACCCCCTAATTCTTTATAATATGGCAAACTGAGCTTTGAATTCTTATTATAGGAGGTGTTTACATTTAGTGTACTGTCTCAAATAGGATTACCTCTAATAATAAGAAAATACATGTAACAAAAAAAAAACAGAAGATAATGTAATTTTATTTATAAATACAAATATCTTTTTGTCGAAAACAATCTTATATGAAACTCCGTGGAATAGATACTAAATGTGAGTGGTGCATCTTTGATGTTTTTTCTCTTATTCGGGGCATTATCTAACATTGAACGTGGGATCTTTCCAACAAAACCTAGTGTCCATATTTAGTGTGAAGGTGATTTTAGAACCATGTTTGGCTTAAAAAAATGGAAAACATATTTAGAACCGATTGCTTTATGACCCCCCGACTTTAGTTTATTTGATGTTTACATATAAGTTTTAGAAATTTGAAATCAATAATAACATTGATAATATAATTGTGTATTTCACTATTTCAAGTTCAAATTGTTAATTGATAAAATATTAATAGAATAATAATAGAGAAAAATTCAAATTCAAATAATAATAAACTTCTTAATCAAAAGAGGAAAATTAAGGTATATAATCCAGAATGATTTATATTTTGTAACCAAAAAGAGGCTGATGTGGAATTATGAGACAGCCGAGTGCGGTGTAAACTGTAAAGGATGCTGATACTTCTATAAGCGTATTAATGATGTTTACATGTTTCTTGATTCTTAATACGCAGAGCTTTTTGTCCAGAAAGAAGACGAAGATGACATATAATAAATATTAAAAATAATTTTTATGAATAAAAATAAATATATTAAAACGATACTAATACTCCCTCGTACCTCACTCTCCATTTAATTAGTTATATTATTAATTCTGCTAATAATTTTTAATTATATTATTTATTGTAGGTTAGCATGTATTTTGTTTAAAATATGGCATCTTTTATTGAAAATATGTACTTCTTCACAGGTCACTTTTTTTTAATGAAAAAAATCAATAGAAATATTTTAAAATTAAAATTATATAAAATCACATGCGTCCAACTCCAAATTCAACTCAACGGCTACATCACAATTTAGGGTATTTAAATGAAACCCAAATCATAATTTTAAAAATAATTTTATAATATACAAAATGAATATATAAAAAATTTATTTCGATTTATTAAAAATGAGCGCTTTTTATCACTTGCCCGGCGCTCTCCTGGGTCATTATAGCGCGAAAAATGCCCCGACTGGGCCCACCATTCATTCAAAACCACAGACGACATCGTACTGTGAAGACGTGGGAGACTCGAAGTCAACAACACGAGGACGCGGACTCAGCCCCCCATCCATTGCCGACATTTACGTTCACATTTGTCTCTCCCCTCCAATGAGGCGGACACGGACAACAATATCCCCAAAGGTATTTTCTCTCAGCAAATCTTTTTTTTTTTTTTCCCCGTCAACTCTCAGCACATCATTTGAGACATTTAAGAATAATTTTAATTTTTAGTCTATAAAATTTTATCTCATTTTAATTTTAATTCTTAAAATTTGAAATCAGTAATTTTGGTATATGGAATTTGAATTCATTTTAGTTTGACCTTAGGAACAATTTTTTTAATGCCTGAAACAAGATTGATTTTAAATTTCACAGATCAAAACTAAAATAATATCAAATTTTAAAAATTAAAAATAATATTGATCCTTTGTTTTTTTTTTAAAATATACAATCTGGCCTCTCTCGCTGGAGCACGTAGGATGGAAAAGGCAGCATTTCCTTCTTGGTATTTTGAACAGGGTTCATAAGAAAAGCAATAATCTGCCCGCAAATTTAGCAAGACCAACCCTTTCTTTCTCACTGCACTATTATTTATGTTTCAGTATGTGTGTTTTTGAGCAAATGTCTCGGTTTATTTTGGAGAAAGTCTAATCTTCAAGGAACTGTTATGTTCTTTATAATCTAAATTTAAACATAAATAATGTCAAAAAAGTTTTCCTTTGTTCTCGGATGCTCCTTTTTCATTGGTATATACACTTGAATACAGTAAAGGGACAAATTTAAAATCCGCAACCGGAGAAGTTTCTCAGTGAATCGAAGAAACAGATGGTTTTGATCTCTGACGCGACCTGACCTGCATCATCATCTTGCTCCGTCTCTCCTATGGCTGGGTGTGTACCTTTCTCTTTCTCTTTCTTTTTCTTTTCTGTGTTTGTTGAATACTACTAAACTCTAAATTCAGCTGGTTTTGCTCCTGAGATCTTGGGAGCAGAACATTACTGCTTCTTGAACTGCCTGGGAACTAAATTTATGCGATCAGAAAACGACCATTCTGTTCTTGAGCTTCGATTGTGACTTTCTTTTTTTTGTCGACGGGTTTAGTTACTTTCATCTGAAAAATACTGACTTTTTCATTTTTTTTCTAAAATACCCACAGGCGCACACGCATGTTGTGTGATCTTAGAAATGTTCGTTGTTCTTGGACCGAGTTGAATGGAAGCTCATTTAGGGGATTGAAATTTCGGATTTTTCCCCTACAACCAACTTGATGCTGTAACTAAAGGGCCGATTAAGCGGCAGTTTGAAAGAATCAAAATCTTTCGTTTTATTATAACTTCTAACTCCTTGGGAAAAAATTTTAAGTCCGGTTGCGGGGTCTAAATATTGGTTCCTCGTTTTAACTTCGTCATGAGTTCGTAGTCAGAGTAATTTTATGGTCCTTAAAGCACAAGTTTGCTAAATTTGATGACAGTGCCGTAAATGGCCCTCAAAGCACAAGCTTCTAACATCAAAAGAATTTAAACCCAGTATTCTCACCTAGTAGGGATCCCCTCCCCGAAAAAATAGAATGAAAGTCCATTAACCCTAACTGCTTCTAGCATTTAGTTGACTCGTGAGTGTAAACATTCTATTTGTTGCCTTTATTTTTGGTAACGTGTTTGTCCTATTTGTACTTGGTAGCTTTCTTATCTTGGTTTTTAGGCAATGTGACAGTTACAATTTATGTTGCATTGACTAGGAGCTAATATAGGGATGTAGAATGTTAAGCCTTTGTGTCTGTTATTGTTCTTGCAGGACATCATGGTTGGTGGACAAAAGTAGAATAGCAACCAAAATAAAGAGTGCTGCTGGGGCATTTGATCCTGAGAAGGTTACATGGAAAAGCAATCCTACCAGAGCTTGTCCAAATTGTCAACACGTTATTGATAACAGCGATGTAAGTGTGATTTTTTCATGAAGCTTCTGGATTTCCTTGTCAGATTTCATGGAACATGGAACATTGTTGTATATAAGCTGCTTATATCTTTGATTATTAATGTTAGGTTTATTTCATAGAAAGAAAATGTTTACTCTCGACCTACAGCTATATTTGTGTTTCTTTAATTTCATTCACATTCACAAGTGTTAATTGTGGTCTATTACAATTCTTTTCAATAGTAATGTTACATGATTGTTATTTTATTAGAAAAGTTTGCCCTTTTATCTTAGTTGAAACTTGAAAATGCAGTAAAGAAAAGGTTTTGTCTCAACTGAATTGATGGTGAAAATTGATGCAGAACCATTTCCTCTAATGATAAATTAAAAGGAAACAGTCAATGTATTGTTCTTATCTTCAGATAATACTATCATAATTTCATGTGCTAGCTAGTGGCTTGCCCTAAATTTAAGTATATCTTCAGCCTCTTGTGCCAAAGTGGTGTAAGCAAAGGGAGATCAAAGTTGGGCAGGACGTAATCAAAATGTTAATTGCTCATATGCTGTTAGCTTCCACTAAAGCCAATATGTCATTGGATCACATGGGACATAAAATCTTCACAGCACGATGATTTGTTAATGTTGTCACTACATGTCTGGAGAAGGAAGCTAATGAAGATTCAATGCTGAAATGTATTATTCAATGGCCAAACTCCACGGATAGGCTCCAATGGAGAATTACAGCAAGGAAAACGAAACCGAAATGCTCACAGCATTTCCCTAGAGCCTCACGGCCTCTCCTACTTTTCTCTCTCTGTTTTTTTCCTCTCCCCTCTCTATCCCAACTTCCCCAATTATACTCGTCCCTTCCCATAACTAACTTCTAGGAAAAACCCACAATTACCCTTATCACATAAAAAGCGTTACACATCCGAATTGGGCTTTTTCCTTTGTCTAACATACTTCAACTTGGGCCCATGCTCAACAGAAGCCATTGGTTGCTAAAGGAACTTCCTTCGTGAGCACCTCAACTCTCAACCATGCCTCCAGACTCCAGAGTTTTAAGTTAGATACATTAAATCTAAATTACCCATGAGCAAGTTAAATTTTTCATATATGCAAAGATTTTGGTTGGCTGCAGTCGTTCTTTGCCTTATCTCTGAATTCGTAGAACCCTATCCTAAAAAATTGGTTAGCATTAATGTATTATTGTTAGGAGTTAATACTTCTATTGGATTTGAGGTTGAAATTTCAACCTCTCTACATTCTTGAGCACTGCATGTAAAGTTATAGATTTTCTATGTTTTCTGCTTTCTGACACTTGAAACTTTCTGATGCTAGGTAGCACAAGAATGGCCTGGATTGCCAAAGGGTGTGAAATTTGATCCATCGGATCAAGATATAATATGCCACTTGCTTGCTAAAGCTGGTGTGGCAAATTCAAGACCTCATCCTTTCATTGATGAATTTATCACTACTCTTGAAGTGGATGATGGAATTTGTTATACTCATCCAAAACACTTACCAGGTTGGTTGCATGCTAGCAAAAGTTTGTTCTCATTTTAATTTTTTATCGTATATGGTGTAATTGATTTGTTGTGGTTGAAACAAAAGGTGTCCATCAAGATGGAAGTGCAACCCACTTCTTCCATAGAGCAATCAAGGCTTACAATACTGGCAATCGTAAGCGTAGAAAAATACATGGTCAGGATTTTGGTGATGTCCGCTGGCACAAGACTGGAAGAACTAAACCTGTCATGTTGGACGGGGTTCAGAAGGGCTGTAAAAAGATTATGGTTCTTTATATGACCATGGTTAGAGGAGGTAAAGCTGAGAAAACTAATTGGGTTATGCATCAATATCACCTAGGGACACAAGAGGATGAGAGGGAAGGAGAGTATGTTGTTTCTAAGGTTTTCTACCAGCAGCAGCAGGTCAAATCAGGGGATAAGGATGACCTGGATATTCCTGCAAGCACCCTGGATATTCCTGGAAGTACTGAAAACATTGAAGCAACAACTGTGCAAGTTGATCCAGTCACTCCCAAATCAGTGACCCCTGATCCACCTTGTAACAACAAAAGACCACATTCAAACGTTGATTTGGGACTAGAATCGCATGTCACTCCTCAGGTGAATCCTGTGATCATATATTATTTTCTCTATAGACAATGTTGAAATAATTTTCCGATTACAATTCCGTTAAACACGTTTGAAATTTGTGTTTTCCTTTGTTATTGCAAGAGGATATAACAAATAATGCGTATTGTTTTGAAGTTAGTGGGTGAATATGTTATTAGAAGAGTTTATTTTCATGTTTAGCCTGATCCCCATTGTCATATTTTGCTGGAGAGCTTTTAAAGTAAACTAGTTTGATTTTATTTTTTTCCCCCTAACAAGTAACTACATGATAATATGCATTTTCTAATTAACTTATCACAATAAAATTTCCATATGCGGAATTCGACCTTTATCCTTTACTTATTTTCATTTTTTTCGGAAGTAAAATCACATGACGGCTGTAGCTTCATGGAAGGAAAATAAAGTGGTGGTGGCTTAAATGACTTTGTTATATTCGATTTTTAATGTCTTTTGCTGCACTGATTGCTGCATCAAAGTCACATACCGCATTTTAATTTTTAAATCTCTTCAAAGTTTGCACTGTTGTGTCAGAAAATATCATAAGCATTTAATCTTAAGCATGCCATTTGAATATAGCATTCATAGAAGAAGCTAATACGAGTTCTGTTTTGTCTTCTGCACTACTTTCTTCCTTAGCATCCTTCAATGGACTGTGAAGAAGATACGTCTCAAGCAGGTTGTGAAGAGCCAAAAACTGACATACTCAAGGAAGAAAATCAAAATAGCAATGAAGGAACAGATAATAATGAAGACGTTGATGTTATTGAAGAACCTAAATGGTGGGACAGTGAGTCACAGCATCTGTTGAATTCACAACAGCTCGTTGAAGCATTGTCCTTGTGTGAGGACCTCTTTCACAGCCAATCTCCCAACAGAGATGACAAGAGTGAAGAACACAAGGACCGACCCAGTCTTTCTGTCTATGCTCAGCTAGGACCAGAGCATCTGAAAAAGGATCTTGAAGAGTGCCAAAATCTTGCCATCGATCCCGCAAATATAGAACTTGATACGCCTCCTGAGTTTCGACTGAGTCAGCTGGTATTTTTATTCTCTCAGCAAATTTGCCTTACATCAAATTCAGTTTAACTGGTGGAATTTCTTTTGTTTTAACACATTTTCATGTTCCTATAGGAGTTTGGTTCACAAGATAGCTACATTGCCTGGGGTGGCAGCAAGGCAGAGAACTGATATCATTCTTCACACGAGATAAAAAGAAAATTAACCTGTCTTGTAACTACTTTTTGATGCTGGAAGAAGCTTGGGTACGGTTTTTAGGTGTTGATTATCACGGCCTTCAATAGAATTATGACATGTGGAGGAATCATTTCTAAGGAGTCGTTGTTATGATTTTGAATCATTAAAAACATGTTCACATGTCATAATTTTATGGGATAACTTGATAATAAACACCTAAGGAACTTTGTCCAGACTTCCCTTTTGTCGATAAGTTGCCTTATTTGATCAGGGATATTTTGAAATAGTACTCCCTGGATTTACTACCTCGCTGTAATGGATGTCACCGAACTTACAGTCAAACAATGACATGTGGCTTTTCTGTGTTCTTCACCCTTTAACTTATCTGATCTGAGCATGAGAATGCTTTTAGAGCATACTGTGTCTTGGCATATTATGGCATCTTTCAGGTTATTTCAATCCTGGATGTGGACCTGAACTGCACAATCCTGTGTTTGAAGTGACAGATGCAGATGTATGCAGCTATGTTCTAGGATGTTTAAGTTTCACAAATGCTCTGTCGACCGTCAAGTTAGTTAATGTTTACTGTGTCTGATGATGATAACAGATTCATGAACTTCTAAGAATATGAAGAAGTTCATGCTAGTTGGCACGAGGCGGTGGAGAAAGAGATAATGAAGAAGAAAGACAACAGGCGACCTCTTCACGAGTAGCACAAGTGCTTGTGGGGAATAGTGTTCCCACAACAACAAAAATCAATGCCTTTTTAATCATACTATAATTGAAGCTGGTGATGTCTTGTTCATGAATTTGAACCGAATATCGGTCACAGTATCTAAGAATCCAACCACATCTTTAATTGCTAATAATTTCATCTTAGTCATTGTTATTAATGGAGAATTGCTGAGAACAAATGCTGATTTGGGAAACATGTTAGGAGGTTGAACACTATAGTTTCAAAGCCCAAACTGCGTTTTGCTGATAATTCAAAACCGGAGTTAGGAACCTAAAAAGGCAAGCATAACCCTTTTTTTTTTTTTTTTTATGTCGTTTCCAAATCATGTTAGTTCAAAACCATTGAGAAAGAAACAACATGGATGTTTGGGTCACCCAAAAAAATAGGAGAATTATAATGAAATCTCAGGAAAAAAAATACAAAACAAGTCTTAAAAATTATTATTTTTATTTTGAAATTTATTATCATTATAGACTACTTAAGTTGTTATTGAAAATTTTTGATAATTATTTTTTTTCTTGAAGCTTTATTGTAATTCTTTAAAAAAACTATTTGTTTTACGTACGGGACAATTTTTTTCACATATTGATATCATAATAAATTAGATCAAATTGTTTTTTTTAGTTGGCTCAAATAAAACCCTCGCTGATAAACTGGCAGTACTCTTTGAAATTGAAGAGTGCTGTAGTGTTCCATACGCTGAATGAAACTCGGAAGGGGGAAAAAACATATGAATCATTGAACGGTAAAAGGGTGAGTTTTTGGAGAGGAAATTATTGTTGGAGAGGGAATGAATTATTGGAAAAGGGAGGCAAAAAAGGGCAATGAGTGGGGTTAAGGATAAGGTGGTGCACGTGGGAGGGGATAAGGCAGCCATTTTGACCAGACGTCTCTTGCCTCTCTCTTCTGCAACCAAGGAGGCTCTGCCAACCATGTTCTATCCTATTTGCCCGACATGACACTTTCTCCAAGTTCTCCTTTTTTTGTTTCATTGGACACATAGTGATACAATAATGAGCTACTTTAATCCTCTTACATTTCATCTAAAGATAAAGACCTTGTCAAGTTTTATCATCGAAGTAAAACATTTACATATATGTTATTTCATCCATGTGCCTTGCTATAAATTATACATATAAATGATATATTCACCATAGCTTTCTCTTTCTTTGGTCCCCTCTCCCTCACACACACCATGCAAGTTGGACAAGTAGTTTCAAGTTTCAGATAAAATTTGCATTTTCCCCCCCTTGGCTGTGAGACTGAGTTTGAATCCCCTGCAACATACCAAGGTTTTCTATTTTATTGGTGGGCTAACCCTCAACAAAGAGATCTCTTACTGCCTAACAACAGTGTCAATAAACACTTTGTTCTTTTAAAAAAAAAAAAAACTGGGCAAGATAAACAATTTGAAAATGAGCGGAATTGAACTCGCAGTGTACTATAAAACAAAAAAAAAAACAGAGAGAGAGAAAGAAAACTTGGCGTCATAGGTCACAAGGTCATTAGAATTTGGATTCAACCCAACCAAAACATAAACAGCTTGCCCTTGGAGGCAGCCTATGTCTTCTAGTGAATCCTCAGTCCCAAGCAGTGCCCTGCCTCATAATTCTAGGAGTGCCTTTCCTAATCACCATTTTCTTCTGACAAAAGAATATTTTTACCAGGAAAAAAAAACGAAATAAAATTACGAGAATGACATTGTTGGACATATGTGAAGACAGCAGCTACAGCTCTATCATTTGTTTATGTGGAGCTTACTCACTCCCTATTGCCCTATTTTCTGGACCGAAACATTCGGAAGGTAAAGGCCCTTTAATCTGTTGACGTGGCACGTGTGGAACTCAGCTGGAACCCAACTCTTTGCTGGGCCCACAACCCACATTTTGAGTCCTTTGACCACAAATGTCACTTTGAACTCTCTGCCCTCTGCTTCTTCCCTGACCCAAAGGGACAACCAGGGCGTGTCTGAAAATTACTCTGTTTCAAGCAGAAAACAATGTAATAAAAACACATGAAGATTACCATATGCTAACTTCCTTTAATTCAAAAAAAGAAAAGAAAAGAAAATTAAGAGGGAGATGTTGTTTGGTTGAAAGACAAGCAGATCAATTCTCAACGAGATTTGAAGACAAGAAGATCTGTTTCAACCTTCTCAGTGGACACCAGCCGTTAGTCTTTGTCATGGTTCGCCACAACCTGTGTCTCCTACAGTATCTAATCAGCATTTTATGAAAATACAAAGGATATTATTATTTTTAACAAGGAATCTGGTATAAAATAACCGACAACTGTAGCTGTTATCAAATTCTAATCCATGATTCTGGTACTGTAATCTCTCTTTAATAATATGAATTAAGGAATGCTTGTGGCACCTTGTAGCATGTTTTGTATACATAATTGAAGCGTTGTATAAATACATCACATGATTGGTGTAGGTCAACAGATTTGATCATCTGCTGTAATCATCGGACTTCATTATGCGTATTAAAGAAATATTGTTGTGACTATGAATCATTTATGGGGGAAATCAAAAATACTAGTACAATCTTGCGCTTTCTTGTAATCTTAACCATGATGTCAAATTCATGGTACATAATATGCAATAGTCTGTAATAAGATGATTTTTTCCTTTTATAAATTGGAATGTGATGAGAGTTAGTTTTCATTAAAAGATGACGGGTCTGATTCTGATTACTGCTTGGATTCACAAAGCTTCTCATCCATCTGCTGATAACTTGCGTAGATGACTCATTAAATAACATAAAACCATGTCTTTTTAGGAATTTAAAGGGGTGTGTGAAGAACATTATTCAATGTTAATAAAACAATTTGGAAGTTCCAATTGTGCAATCCTCAACAAATCTTCACTTCAAATGATTAAGGGACCTACATGATGACCCAATTATTGAAGCCCATTAACTTAGCCTTCCTTTAACATTTTATTTTAGAAATTCCTCTTCCACCCACCCCCTCTCTAAGCTCTTTCAGAAGCCACTTTTCTTGAGTTTTAACATCTACCAAATCAACACTAAGGAAAGGTTTAGCGGTACAAAACTGAACTTAATTCTCTGCTTCTGCATCTTGATACCAGCATTTCAACTCGAAACGCTAAAAGTTACTGCTTTCTTGAGCTTATGGTGAAGACCAAATCTGCTACTAACTAAATTCCTGAGCAAGGTAAAATGTACAAACAGCTTAACTAATGCAGGTTACTAGGTTAGTGAGCCTGGAAAAAGACAAACAGCAAAGAGGTTAAAAGAACTAATTGGGTTTGGTGTTCTTCTCTCCCTTCAATCTTCAATGAACTCCAACTGAACTCACCACCCTCCATTTTTTTCCCTCAGTGGAAGGTATGAACTTGACATAGCACCATAACCACATAAAAAGCTTTCTTCCATGAAAATCTTTTCTAAATCTGAAGAACTTCAGAATATTTAGTTCAGAAATGTTCAAGGGATTATCTTTCTGAACCACCCTTCAAGATAACCATCACTGACTTGGCTCATAGATAACTATTACCTTGGAAGCTATTCAGTGATTCAAGTGTAAACGAGGAAATTAAAGGATAAATCAGAACAGAAGTAAACCAAAGAACAGAATGAAAAGTTAAAAAAGGACTTTGGTATTCATGCTATTCCGATGTACATAAAGCTAGACCCAGAAGGCCAGAAAAACCTTACAAAATTGTTCCCCTTCACATAATATCTTGCCTTTTTTCTATATACACTCCATCATGAATCAGAGGAAAAAAAACCAAAATAAATAGCTAGACAAAGCTTTCGCATCCCTGGAAAGCATTCTTAACTTAGGCTTCAACTTCTAGTCATGCCAACAGAGAAGCATGACTACACACCTTCTTATAATGTACAGACGAGCCCTCTGCTCTCTGAGGGCTCCTCCAAGTCCTCTGTTTGATAGCCTTCTCTTTGAGCTAGCACTTGCCATCTTCATGATCTTCACCTGCTACTCTTTCTTCTTCTTCTCAGAAAAACAGAAAAAGGGTTTTTTTCCTTTTCTTCTAGTGAGCTCAAAGTTCTCAACTTTGTGTGAATTGGTTTGAGAATTTTATGTGAGATGGGGTGTTATATATATACAAGTGGATGGTAAAGAGGTGATGTGGTCCTAACGAAGGGTTGGTCTATTAAAGAAGGCAGAGATGGGCCATGAAAGGGTGTGCATTGGCTCAAAATCCATTAAGAGACATAAGACCAAATGGGACCCACAGCAGCTTCATCACTTGGGGAATCCATAACCCCAATGAAGGGGGAATTGATTAAACAAGCCTCACTTTCTTCCATTGTCATGTCACTCTCTACTATCCTACATGTAGCCACTAACCACCAGCACAATGGGGCCTCCCGTTTCAAAAATATGGTGGCATTTTCTTTCTTAGTTTACAAGCTGACTCAACAATGACATCCTCATGGAATATGATTCAGATTGAAATAAATCAAATTTACCAAACAAGCGTGTCGCAAAACTAGCAAAAAGTTGTGTTAACTTAACCAGTAGTCTCAAGTTCAACTAGGATTAGTTGGAGTCTAAGGTGACTTCTAAATAGCGGGTAGTTTGATTAAAAAGAAAAATAAATAAAGTGCAAGATCCATGCCATGATTTTAACATTAGAATTTTATGAGTGATTATGCATAAAAGTTTACAACATATCATCTGTCTAAATATTATTCCAACTAAAATGATTATATTATACCTGACATATATCATACACTAGCTTTTTAAAAAAAAAAAAAATCAGCATTTCATAGGAGCTGCCCCTGATTTATGCATTATAGGTGAATGTGTGAATGAGGACAAATGCCTTCTCTTTTTCTTTCCTCAGTGCCTCAATTTTGTTGCTTCTGTTCATCTTTTTGTTGGATCCACATAATCAGGGAAATGACCGGTGGATAGGGTGTTGGTTTAGTTGAATCCTACATAATAATGCGTACACAACAACCATTAATATGTATTTGAAAAGGTCATTAGTGGATTCAACTTATCTCTAAATAGAAAACAAACATATACTTAGGGACCCCACGGACACCACACACAGCCATCAACATCAGAGTCAGTATTTCTTAGGTTAAATTTGTGTCTATCCAAAGGTTTGTGTCCAGAAATTATTGCACGCAAGGAACAAGAAGCAGAATTTTGGTGAGCCTAACCCCACAATAATGAAACTTGATATAGGGCTATGTGTTTTATTAGAGCTTCTGTTACTGAGTAAACAAAAGCTGCATAATGGAGGCGGTCTAAATCAACAGAATATAAGACATGCTTCTGACAGTTTTTGGAGAAGACAGAACTGTATTGAAGCACAAGTTTTTTAAAAAATATGGTGCGAAACATAACATGATACAAACATTATAATAGAACAAAAATTATTTTAAAACACTGTATGATGTTTAATAATAAGTATTAGACACACATACACCCACATATACCACACAAAATAGGATTGAAGTTTTAAAATATCAATCCATCATCGGATGACAATCACAAGTTTGTTCTCCATTACACTCCAAATTCACAGTAACTTTACTTCATTGAATGAGAAAAGTAAGTAAAGTAATCTGTTGCAACTTTGCATGCGCCTGAAAGCAATTTTGCCAATGTAATGGATCAAAAGAGAGAAAAGGTTAATTTTTTCCCCCTCTGCAGCATCATAAAGGGGGTCAAGAAAAGCAGCCAAGGACGTAAGTTTCAAGCTTATGACTAAGATTCCATAGCTTACAGCATTAAAATAAGAGAGAGAGAGAGAGAGAGAGAGACTATTTTTATATGCTAGACCCAAAACACAGCTAATAAGTGATTAATTAAATCATCAATAGTTTAATCATACTTAACGAAAACCAAAGCAGGGCATCTACTTGCTCAGTCTCGTGCTCACCCCAAGTCACTTGAAATGCCAACCTTTATTCAACGGCTCCTTCTAATATAGTTTTTATATGCTGTCCATGGAATTAAGAGCTTTTGTCAGTTAGGAGTGTGTTTTCTTCTTTGATCTTTTTCCAGTTCATACTGTTTTGTAAAGAAGTACAAACAAAAGGTTGAAAAAATGGGACGCGACAGAGTTTAACTCCCGTAAGAACATTAACATAGATATTGAAATGACAAGATATTACAATATGTGTGGGACATATACATATTTGACCATTTAGAAAAGAAGAATTAGTTGAGGTGTGCATGATTAAATTAGAACACTAACTAAATGATCAAAGTGGTTCAACTCCAACGCACGAGCAGTTTAATGAAACATTAAAAAAAAGGTAACGATGTCGGTTGTACTAAAACAAGAAGGTCAGGGTTGCACGTGAAGTTCTCGTGATTCACAATGGCATTGCCTGCGAGACAATCAACAGATATTCATTTAATATTATTTGGTTGTTTATCTTGGACTCTAAGAGCCTCATTTCTTTTATAATCTTTAATAATATTTCTCTTGATCTCCATGCGTGTTCTTTATGCTTGTTTGTTAAGGAACAACCTCGCCACATGTTTGCTTTAGTCTCATCCCAAATGCCCCATTTAAGGACAGCTCTTGCATAACATGTAGAGCCACTTGTCTTTGATTTTGAGCAAAACAAGATTTTGCATGTGGAAGAATCAGTGGGTTGGTTTCATTTGATTTGGCAGTTCCAGTTTTCTGGTGTACCTTAATCGCAATGGTTATTATTCTTGACAGAATGCTCCCATTATTCTAAGATGTGAAATTACTCTCAACTCTGTTAGTTCAAGTAATTCACCCACAAGGAGATGATCACTTAGGTACCAAAAACGTCAATTTAATACTCCTTCTCGTCTTAAATATCAGAGTTGAGATAACTAATTTACAAATATTAAAAAAATTAATTAAATTAGTTATTTGTAAAGAAAAAATGTGCGTAGATTTTCTTAAAATATTTACAATGGAAACTATTCCATATGAAAACCTCCATTTAATATGTATAATTTGTATAGATAGTTTGAAAAAAAATTGTAAATTTAGGAGACAAAATGAATTAAGATTTCATATTTAAGATCAAAATAAATCCACAACAAACTTATGTATTTAGGATCAGAGAAAATAATCATTAAATTCCAACCAATTCTGTTGAAAGTGATGGGAGAATTACATGCATATGCTAAATTACAAAATTACAGAAGTCATTAGTTGCAGGTTCTAACCACTTGTAAATGGAAGTTTGACATATAAACAGGACTGAGAAGATAATTATTTTTTCTCATGTGTTTGCAATTCTCCTTAATTGTAAATATGAGTATCATTACAAATTGGGCATTTAAGACTTGTCTCTCTCAATTATTTGCATTTGAGACTCTCGTATTTGCAAGTACTTGCAAGTCATCTTCTATCAAATTTTTTGGAGCTAATTGTTATTAAATAAATCTTTTGAAACTTAAGTATCATTCTTTCTTAACACAAATCTCTTGTTATTTAACTATACATTTTTTTTTTAATTTTATACAATCAAACACTCAAACACACGTATTCATACAATAATATTAACGCTAAGCTCGAGTCTTAGACCTCATTCAAACATACCAAATAGTACCACCGCTAGCACTACAACTTGCCATTTACAGCTAAATAAATTTTCACATACATTCTTCCTTAACTAGACATATTTCATGTTATAATCAATTATACTCTTTCAATTCTTACTATAGAACCTAATTGTTGAGTTAATTTTGGTTTAAATATAAGATCTATTTTTCATATTTATCAGTTTTTTCTAAATTATCCTTATTAATACTCTATCAACCATAATTAAATAGGAAAGAGAGGAGGATATCAAAAAAGATGATTACGATGTTTTAGAGAGAAAAAAACATGTCATATTCCTTATAATTAATTAACTTACTTAACTTTTTTAATCTAATCAAATTAGTTAAATGGGTCTTAGATTATAGACCGGAAGAATATTAATATTTCGTTCAGAGATCTGCTTGGACTTTTATTGAATTCAGATCTTTTTTCCTCGAAACAATCTTGGAAGTACATCTTTAATTCTTTCCATAATACACCATTTAAAGGAATGAAGTCAATTTGAAAGGGGATGTCGTACGAAGGAATACAGTATTAGCACGTTAAGCTTCCATTGGCAAATTCTACTATGCTGCGTAACCTGCAAGATTATATTAGTAATAGCATAGCTGGCAATGACTCTATTATCAATTACTTCATGCCGTACGGACCCATTTAATGACTCTATTAGCAATTAGTTAATTGATTAAAAGGGGCCAAAGGGGCTACGTAATAAGTAACCATATAGCTGTACTTTTCTGATTGATCAGGCCACAAAAATGAAATAAGATTTTTACAAAACATGAACAAGACTGATGGTATAACAGCAATCAGTAAGAGGAAGGTTGACAAGTTTTTAACTCGGTGAAATAAAGGAAAGCCAGTCCGATTTTTTTGGTTCAGAGATGAAAAAGCAGTGTCCGCTGGCATTGTAAAGTTAAATCAACCACTTTTCTTTTTTTTTTTGGTAACAGCAGATTGCTAGAAGAGTTTTTTTAAAAGAAGAGATGATTGGCTAGAATAGGCAAATGGGCAACAGATATACTATCTTATTACTCCTCCGATCATAAATATAAGAACAATTTTGTAGTATAAATTATACTACAAAATGGGTTTTATATTTAGGACCGGAGGAGTATAATAAAGGGTTTATATAATCTTTAGTCCCTCAATTTTTCTCTCATTTTGTTTTTAGTCCCTTAAGTTTCAAACCATATGTTTTGGTCTTTATGAGACAAAATATTCCAAGTTTTTACTAAATTATAAGAACTAATATTTTAGACAAAAAGAAATTTAAATAATCAAAACCTATAGTTTGAAATTTGAGAGACTAAAATTAAAACGAAAACAAACTTAAAAAACTAAAAATTCTATTAACCCTACAATAAATGATGCTTCAAATAGCTGACCTCATAATATTTCTTACGTTTTGCCTTGAAAATTGATTGGTTTTCAGGTATTCAACTGCTCTTTTATTGTTTCCCAAGTTTTTTCAATGGTATGTTCATTTTGAGAGTAGAGAAGGAAGGAGAAAATTTTAATAAGTTCTGCTTTAAAGAACAAGATTAAAAGTTTCTAATCTATTTCCTACTTCTTCTCTTGTGTTTTTCTTCTATTAAAATTTTATAGTCTTCTTTGTCTGATTTTTTAAAATCAAACTCATAATTTTTTTTCCTCTCCTATCACGTTCTCATTGAAACAAACAAAGGCTGGGGTGAATGGATGGTAGGAGATGTCATCTTAAGCCATCTATCCAATATTTAATTTTTTTACACTTCTAAGCCTCTTTTTTTTGTTGCTAAGCACAGGTATCTTCCTGTTAGAGACAATCATGTTTGAGGCGTTGTCTTAGCAGGGATTCAAAACTTGATTCTATACATTTTAATTAGTCTCTTCTACTAAACTCAATATTGTAGGTTTCCTTAAACATATTGAAAATACCTACATTCTTCCCGTGCAGAACAAATTTCCAGCTGGGACTGACACATCAGTAAGATCCACGAAATGTCGGCCTAAATCCACAGAATTGGACTCTATGGTGGGCCAAGAGCGACTACTCAGCCCATTGGGCTTAGAGAATCCACGTGAAAGCCTTTGTGAAGGAAACCTTCGGTCTCCATCCTTCAACTTTTCCAACTTGGATCATCTCCACCACCCTTCTCATCCTCTTTCTCTTCACTATCCTCCTTTTCCCTTCACAACTATTGGATCAAAATTTTAAAAGTGCAGGCTTGACATTTTATAAAAACAAATATTATTATAACTTTAGATTAAAAAAAAAGATAAATAATTCAAACTATTAAAATTTGATCTAAATAGTTCACAACTATAGGGGAAAAATGAAAAAAAAAATTACTTTATCACATTTTTGACATTATAAAATAAAAGAAGATTTAGTTTTAAACTTAATGCTTTCTATAAATTAATTACTTTCAGAATTGACATTAAGATATTTGTGGAATAAAAAATCAGGGAAAAATAGATACAACTCAAAAGGAAGTTAAAAGCTGATGGGCGGAGATCAACTAGTTTCTAGGTCTTTGTTGGTTTTGGACCCTTTGCTATTTTTATTTTAGGCTTCACTTTGTTCCTTTTTTTTTTTTTTCCTTTTACTGTTATCGGGCTCCTTAAAAAATAAGCGATATATATATATATATATATAAAATTTTGGCTTTTTAAAATAAGGGAAACTAGGAGGCTAAAGTTTATATTATCGTCTTTTAACAAAGCAAATAATATATGTTTCATAAAATCAGAGGTTAAATGCCTGTTGGCCCCTTTGGATCCCCCAATGTTTGACACGGACGGTTGAGATTCAAAGGAAACAAATAGCTCAAATATAATAAAATGCCTGGCTTGGCTTGGGCATCGAGTACTGAATCATGATCCGTTATAAGCAGTTTGGCTCTTAAACTCCAGTGGGCAACTCACAGTCCAATAGTTAAGGCTGTGTTTGGGTGACACCCCAAAATCATGGTTTGGGAAATAAAATCACCAAAAATCAAAATTTTTTTGCTTTTGGAGAAAAAAAAGAGAGTGTGAGAGCCTATAGAATATGTATCTTGTTATTTTTTTTATAAACATATTTTTTATAAACATATTTAATCTTATATTTTATAAATATATATACATATTAATTATTTATTAATTATATTATCTTATGTATTATTAATTATATTAATATCCTGAAACCTATCATCCGTCAAGCACATTGCAGATTGGAGACGCCTCATCGTTGTTGGACCTGTTCAATTTTCTCTTCCCAATTCTTTACTCAACTCCTGCACCTCACCCTGAATCATTATTTCCAGTTTGAAGAAGGTTTTAATTTGACATTGGATAACTCTTGAGATAGAACCACAACAATTGGCTCCCCCATTTAATAGGCTAATCTCTTAACATTGAGATTAATCATCTTTTCATACATGTCACAACAGTTATTTAGCAGAATATCAACATGCCGGTGGAAAGTCACTGTTTAAAAAGTGAATATGGACTATTTGTCACCCAACAAAAATCCTCTCTCTGTCTTTCTGTTGCAGAAGACGACATATCCAGTTTTTCTTTCTTCCCTGTTAGCAGTGGGCCAAGTCAGACACTCCAGAGGAAAGAAAACGTAGTAAATACTAACAAAATGAACAACTTATCATGTTGCACTCAGGCTGACTAGAGAGACTACCAGCATCAGATAGAAAGCCTTCACTCAGCTAGCATCAGATGTGCTAGGGTGGCATGCCCATCAGAACGCCTCGATCTTCAAAAAGATAGACTGAAAATCGAATTAGCATAATCATAATCTCTTGAGATATTCTCTTTTCAAATGGGCAAATGGAGACTATTCAAAGTCGCCCTTCAAATTCCCTGGCATCAGCTTTCTTCGGTGAATTCTGCAGACAGTTTGAAATAAGGATTCGGGTTCACACGGGTCAGATGATGCGAACAAGAACGGATGTTGTCTGTACAACAAGGTTACTTCTAAACATAGAAACAACTAGTAGGTCAAGGCAATGGTGGCACAGCTATTTTGAATTATATTCAGTTGCCTTATTCAAGACTTTCCTTCCAGGACGCACTAACAAAAATCCATTCATCATCACTCAGTAACCAAGCAACTCACAAAAGGTAGGTAGCCGGAAGATCAATCAAATATGTAGAAATATGTTAGTACGTTAGAAGTGAGTCCTGTCTCACATGTTTACACTTTCGTTTCATAATTAACTTGGTTTTTTTATCTTCAATAGAAGTGTGCCTATATCATGTCATATCAACAAACGGCCAAACGGGTTCCCTTAAAAAAACCAAAAAGAAGAAGAAGGAATCCATAAAATACTTTTATAGATTATAAGACTCGAACAATCTAAACAGACAAAAACCTAAGCATTTAAAATTAAGAAACTGACAAGAAAAATAGTTTTCATCACGTTAACTGATGTTTTTAATTTGTGAAGTAGAAAAAGAATCTTCAAACAAGAATTATTGTGGGAGGGAGGAGGGGAGAGATAAAGAATCTTCAAACAAGAAGGGAAGTAATGACTCCAGTGACTTACTTGGAAGGGAGAGGAAAAAATCCGTATGTGGAAGAGAACTTTGCAGAACTCAATTGTGTTTCAGTTCCTTGAACAAAAGGGGTAAATATAGGCACACTGGGTAGTAAGTAACATGACCCCATTTTGAATCACATTAATCTAGATAAGATAGATGAACTATGGTACCCTATATAACCGCTTGAAAAACATCAAATAACTTTTTCCGACAGCTCCACACAAAATATCTTGTACCATCAAAGAGGAGTTCGGGGAAATTTATCTTTCTAAACGTACTCAAAAGCATTCCTTTCTCAACTCCTTCCCCTGAATAAAATCATCCTGTCAAAACCATAAACATTCTTTTTTTTTACCAGAAAAACCGATAAACATTCATGGAATTCTTAGTATCAACAACAATGGGTTAGGTTTGGTTTGGAACCAACTTGTCAAGCTTTAATTTCCATTTCAATCTAATAATTTATCAGGACTCAGTGCTCTTTTTAAATATTGAGAATCAGTGAATATAGTTTTAGTTCGACCTTGACAAACCAAATCAAACTGAACCATAACATAGTAGATTCAGTACAAGAAAAAGATGTTTTTTAACACAAACAGCTTGGTTATAATAATGATAATGATTTATATATGGCATAGAAATGTAGAAATATGAAATATCATTCCTCCGACAAGACTATATAGAAGTTCACACTTCTAACAGCCACAGCAAAACTAATATTCACCTTCCGTCATTGATTGTTTGGCCCCAAAAGAAAATTCCGAAGTTGATTTGCAATGAAAAAATATATATCTTATTGATACATCAGATCCCAAAAAAAATCATAAATAAAGATCTGAGCTAACAAAATCCTAAAAATTGCATCACCTTCCAGGACTTAAAAAATATTCTAAATTAATCAAACATCACCCGCATGTGCTTCACCTAAGCTCAATTTCTCTACCCCATTTAAAATCCTCTAGGATCTCACATTGAAGAAGAACTTTAAATTCCTGAACAAGAACACATATACTTGCTAAATTTCAGCACTTCTGCTTCACCTAGACCTTGAGAAAAATATAATATCTTTACCAGAACACCGCGTTCTCCTCTTGTCATCCATCACTATACACCCCATGCAACCAAAAACAATCATCGCATCTTCCAAAATCATCACATTCTCCCATTTGACGTGGTTGTAAGTCAATATAACCTTGCCAGTTCTGTCAGGTTTCTTCTCTTTGCCCTCCCTGTTTTCTATAGCCGACGATGAACCTCTAGCCATCAGAGAACAACGAAGAGTGGTGAAACAGGTCATATGGGATCCACAAGCTATCCAAAGGGCATGGCCTTTTCGCGTCGAGTCTCAGCCATGGCTTCCCCTTCCCACTCCAGTGAAGCAGGCTCACAGGTCCCGGATGAAGATCTCTGCATAAACCTTTGAGATTGTCACCGCCCAGCCCATGCTGATTCCACCTATGATCCACCCTCTCAACGTTTCCGGCGAACACCAGCAAGAACGGCGGCAGAGAACCGAGGTCGTAGATTCGGTGACTTTTCTGAATCCTCATCCACGTCTCTAGCCTCTTCGTATACCTACCCTCCCTCCATTTCCACAGATCTATTACCATCACCCCCGTGTTGAAATAGCAGGGTTTCCGGGCACGAAACGCCGCCGCATAGACTGGGGTTGACCAGAACTTGGGCGTGAAGTAGTTGGTGAAATTGGCATGACAATACTCGGGCGCGCCCAAAACGTGCGCTCCCAAATTGATATTCCAGAGCTTCGCCACGTCGTCCACCAGGATCAGATCGGAATCGAAGTAGATAATGCGGCGGACGCCGGCCGGCAAGAGATCGGCCAGGTACATCCTTGCGTAATTGAGAGGCTGGTCGAGCGCTCGGCGAACGGAATTCGAGATCTTTCCCCTGACGACGCTGGAGTCAAAGCGGTATAAGTAGAAGTCCAGATACGGAAAGGTGGCGGAGATTATACTGTAGAGCTCGGACTGGATGTGCGACGCGCTGATAAAGTGGAAAACCACATTCTCTGGGCAAGACGCGTGTCGAAGAACGGAGAAGACGGCGGCCACGGAGCCGCGGAGGTAAGCGGTATCGAGAGTCATGGCTATATGGATGATGGAAGGGTTGTGAACTCGTTTGTCGGAAGTCGACCATGACGTTTCGAAACATTCCCAGCCGTTTCGAAATGCCGGAGCTTCCCTGAACTTGAGAAGTTCACCGGAGTCCGATGATACCAGAAAAATAACGGCTGTCGCAAGGAGAAAGGCGAAGATTGCCCTGTACGGGGGAGATGTCGCTGACATGGTTCGCTTCGTCGTACCCGTACGCCGAAGGCAGAATGTTTAGTTTTGTTAACTAAACAGTACAGGCACAGGGGTAGTTTCGGTTTTACGGAAAAATTAATCTAATACATTATAAGTAGAGGGTAGACGTGTAATTTTAACCTTAATCTTTTTAGGGTGCAATTTTACTGCTGTTAATTACTTTCCAAAAAAAATCAAAAATAAAAGTGTACATAAGAAATAAAATGAGAATCAAAAATTAAGTCTTGAATTAAAAAAAGATGGCTTAATATTATTTTTAGTGTACATGTAATTAGAGGAAATTATATGTAAACTGTTATCAAACTCAACTCTCCTTGCTAATCATGTTGCACAACATGTATGTTCTTCTTTTTTTTCTTTGTTATACTACCTCTGGTTATAATTATAAGACCTTGTTTGTAGTGTGTAAATGACATCTTATAATTAGGATCAGAAGTAATATTTTATTAAGCAAATGTATTTTTTTTATCGGAGGCCATCTTATTTGTGACATTGCCTGATAGTAAATACTGGCACCTTTTTTTTTTGGTTGCCCACCCAGTTCCCAGTTCACCGGAGCTTTGCTTCGACTACATCTGGATCCGACCCACGTCACGCACCTGGCTGTGGTAGTTGAGTCTCCCAATTGGGATTTTTGTATACGTTGAGGCTTGAACTCGAGACCTCGCTTAAGCGGTACCAAACCGCTTACTACTTGGACCAATTCTTGATGGTAGCACGTGTGCTCTTTTTGTTTTTTTGTTTTTATACAAAAGAGGGTCAAGCCCAAATACAATAAACTAAATCAAATGGGGAATACATCCCAAGCTCTCTTTCTCCACAGTATCCTTGAGGTTCACTGGACAGAACTCAAAGAAGGACGTCATTTCAATTCCTTGCTTAGCTAAAATATCTGCCACTCTATTGCAAGCTCTTGGCACATGAGTCAGCTTTGCTTCCCAAGACAACCGAAGCAAATTCCTGATCTGAATAAACATCAAACTACAGTTCTAGATGGAGTCTTCTTGCATTATTTTTCCCACCAAGTCTTTTGCATCAGATTCAATCATAACCTTCCTGAAACCATATTCCCAAGCCATTCTCAACCCCCTGAATAAAGCCCACTCTTCTGCTTCATAAGCACTGCACCTTCCAATTTTATAAGAAAATCCTGCAATCCAATTGCCTTCAGCATTTCTTAAAACACCACCACACCCTGCCTTAGTGGATTTAAGTTCCACAGCTCCATCAACATTTAGCTTAACCCACCCATTAGGAGGAGGATTCCAACCAGCATTAATAAATTGCGAATTTTTATCTATCCCATCCCATTCAGCTTTAAAAATGTAATTTCTCCAACTTTGGGTAAGGATCATAACGGGATTTCTAGGCCTCTCAACACCATTTTCAAACTCTGCCTTGTTACGCCAGTTCCATAATTTCCAAACTGTCACTCCCCATATGAGGTCCCAGTTTCCAAAAGGCGTGTTCGCTCCCTGTTGTTTCAGATTATATGAAAACCAGTCTCTCAGAGTTAGCGAGAAAAAAGAATCAGCATACCTGTGATCAATTAACGCCAACCAAATTTGCCTTGCATAAGTACAGTCTCTTAAGATATGCAAGGTGTCCTCATTTTCAGTGAGGCACAAAGAACATTTTGGTGAAGTTAAGGCCCAGCAGCTTCTCCAACTATTTGTTGGGAGTTTGTTGTTGAAGGCTTTCCATAGAAAAACTCTTATTCGCTCCGCTCCCCGCCATCTCCAGATCAACTTATAGGTTGGGTGAAAAAATTCTTCCGGATTTTGCTCCAGCATGAAATAAGCACTTTTAATAGAGAAGATCCCATTTGAAGAGGCCTTCCAATAAATGAAATCACTACCCATTTCCTCCATAGGGGGAAGAATACTGATCGGTCTTTGAATTACTTCCTCATTTACTATGGCACTTAATTTTTGCAGATCCCAGCAATGAAAGAGTGTCCAGTCGGCAACAGCACTACCTTCTTCTTCACTAGAAATAGGCCTTTTACACATAGTGCGAATAGGCTTGTCAGGAAAAAGCCAGCAATCAGTGAAGAATTTCACTGATTTCCCATCTCTTACCTGCCATTGAATTCCTTTTTCTGCAAGATCGCTGCAATTACAAATGAAACGCCACAAATTAGAATCCCCTTGCTGGTATTGAAAGAGATTCTCCTCATTAGATAAGAGGTAACGATGACTTAAAACATCTGCCCAAAGCCCAGATTCTCCGATTAGCAACTTCCAGGCCAGTTTAGCACCACAAGCCTTGTTGATGGACGTAAGTTTTTTAAACCCCAAACCACCATGGGATTTGGGTAGTGTGATTTGATTCCACCCTATAGGGTGAAAACCCCTCTTCTCTCGGTCATGTCCCCAAATAAAATCTCTTTGCAATCTTTCTATCTCAGAACAAATTTTTGTTGGGATTTTTGCCACTTGCATAGGGTAAAGGGGAACAGTACTCAAGATAGATTTGGCGAGTGTAATTCTACTTGCCATTGATAAACTCTCTGCCTTCCAAGTCGATAACTTTGAACTAATTCTGTCAACAATGTACTGGAAAGATTCCGTAGGTTTCCTTCCTCTAGAGAGTGGGAAACCAAGGTATTTACCAATATCACTACTAATCCACATTTGTGTAATCTCCTTGATTCTTGCTTTTGTCCTGGCTTCAACTCTAGGAGAGAAGAAGATCGACGACTTACTTTTGCTTACCAGCTCTCCAGATGCTTCACAGAACGTATCAAGGCAACTCATCATACAAAGAGCTTGCTCCTCCGAAGCAGATCCAAAAAATAATAGGTCATCTGCAAACATTAGATGAGAAACACAAGGTCCATTTCTGGTAACCCGAATTGGCTTCCACTTCTGCTCATTAACCGCATCACATATTAAATGAGATAATCTATCAATGCATAAAACAAACAAAAGTGGTGAAATTGGATCTCCCTGTCTGAGCCCTCGTTGCGGTAGAAAGTCATCCGACAATTCACCATTCCAGAGAACATTATATTTCACTGTCGTGACATAGGTCATAACTAAGTTGATAAAATCCTCCTCAAACCCAGCATCAATTAAGACTTGCCTCAGAAAAGACCATTTAATCCTGTCATAGGCTTTCTCAAGATCTATTTGCATGGCCAAGAGACCTTTCCTCCCTCTAGATTTGTTCATAATGTGGATGATCTCTTGAGCAATGATTATGTTATCTTGAATGTGCCTTCCTTTAATGAAACTAGCTTGGAAGGGAGATATAATATCATTCATAACTTCTTTTAGACGTCTCATGATGATCTTGGTGATACATTTATAATGTACAGTACATAAAGCAATTGGCCGAAAGTGGAACACACGCTCTGGGTTATCCCTCTTTGGAATCAGGGAGATCAGAGTTTTGTTTGCTTCTCCAATTCCAGATTTCCCCAGAAAAATATCTCGCACAAAACTGCAAACAGCATTCCCAATTACCTTCCAATTCTTCTGGTAGAAAATAGGGGAAAAATCGTCAATACCAGGGGCTTTGAAAGGTCCCATAGAAAAAATAGCCTCCTTAACCTCCTCATCCGAAGGGGCATCATTGAGATTATTTCTTGTCATCTCATCAAATATGGGAAAATTTGTAACAGTACAGAGATTATTTCCACCCACCGTATCATCAGAATAAAGATTTTTGAAATAGTGAAGAACCATATTTCTTAGCTCGGATTCGTCTTCAATCCACACGTTATCATCATTCTTCAAAGCAGCAACTCTGTTCCTCTTTCTTCTCACACATGTCTTAAGGTGATAGTACCGAATGTTCCTATCACCTTTAGTGATCCATCGAGTTCTGGCTTTTTGAAACCATTTCATCTCCTCTCGATTCAGGATTTCCTCCAATTGCTTTTGTAAATCCAATTCAAGGTTACATAGAAAACTAGAATAAGGATAAGCGCTTGAGCTCTGAATTCCTTTCAATCTTGACAGAATTACTCTTTTCTGCTTTTCAACCATACCAAAAACATCCTTATTCCATACTAATAGAGATTCTTTGAAATCAGTCAGTGCATGATTTAAATTCTCATTCCCCACCCAAGCAGAGTTTAAGAGGTCTGAAAAATTTTCATGTTCCATCCACATTGCCTCAAAACGGAAAGGCTTTTCTCCTTTACTTCGTGAATCTTCTTCAAACACCATAATAGCTAACGGGTTATGGTCTGAGAAAGAGATTCACGGACGTACCTTAATTTGCCATCCAGGAAAGCAGTTCATAAACAAGGTGTTACCGAAGGCCCTGTCTAGTCTTTCAAAAAGTCTTGCATAGCCTGTGATTTTAGGACCCCGCCACGTAAATTTTGGTCCTGTGAATCCCAAATCCGATAGACGACACCTCTGAATTCTTTCATTGAACCATTTGATGCGATTCTCATTCGACCGAGAACCCCCAATTCTTTCTAGAGCTGAGGAGATATCATTAAAATCACCGCAAGTTAACCAAGGTTCAACAACCGTGGCTGAAAGTGTTTCCAGCTTATTCCAAAGTTCGGTGCGTAAGTTGCTATGTGGTACCGCATATACTGCTGTGCAAAGAAACAGAGGGTACCCAGGGAAGGCACATCGCATATGGATGAACTGTCGGTCTTGGTAGAGAACATCCACTAGCACGCGCTCACTTCTCCAAGCTGCAACAATCCCTCCAGACCGACCAACGCTTGGAACCATAATAGATTTATCGAAACCCAACGTTGAGAGGCATTGCAGGCGGGAAAGGTTATCACACCTTGTTTCTGCCAGAATCAAAATACTGGGCTTGAGCCCACCAAACGCAGCCTTCAGATTTTTAAGGAGGCCTTTTCCGCAGGCCCCTCTTGTATTCTAGAAAGAGAGATAATCCATAAAGACAAAGAGGAAAAAAGGGGGAAAAACTCAAGGCCCAATTAGCACACGACGGGAGACTGAGTTTCAGGCACCACTACTCTATCACCCTGTTCACTCGATTGACCCATAACCTCCATTGGGCTTTGCATTGGCAGCCCAAGATTTCCAACACTATTGTTTTCCTCCACAACCCCCCCATTCC